TTTTATTGATTGTGTTGTTACACGTGCATTTTTGTCAACATACTTGCAGGTTCATAAAGGACATGTACCATGCTCATTTCCCAAATGAGGAATTTCTGTTATCAGGACAAATTGGACAGCGCAAACACGAGTCCGCACTAGAGAATATTTACTGTATTGCAAGCACACATGATGGCTGAGAACTCAAATCTGGAAATGGATTGTACTGCTGTGGATTAGACTTTATCGGAATAAAACTCCAGCGTCCGTTTTTTGTATAATTAAAACCACATGGATGATTTATTTGACTAAAATGACTATTTATAAGCACATCATTCAATAATACCTAATTTCATGAATACAGAGGTCTGTACACCAGTAAGCATAACTTTCTTTCCGTAACATTACAATAAGCACACCATGCATCAGTGGATGTCGCCTCGTAACAGTTCTGTCTCGGCAGTTTTGTACAGTACTCCATTACGCATACTGCATCTTACGCCGTCCTATGCATATGACGTTTACAATATGTACAGTGTTCATTCTCCTGTGAGTGTGGACTCACACGCGACTAGGGTTGCAAAATTCTGCACATTTTCAAAGGTTGAAACTTGACATGGAGAGAAGCCAGGAATTTACAAAATTTCAGGTTGGCTCTTAATATGGAATTTTACTTGAGTTGGGGAACAGCCAAATTCAAAGTACAGTAATACCATATCAGTTCCCCCAACTTTTATATTATATAATTTGCCAATGTCCCATAGCTAAAAATTCCCATGGAAATTACTCAGAAACTACGCCCCGCCCATTGCAACCCTACACACATCACACTGCTTACCAAGTTAATCACTTTCTATACCCCAGCCTTACTCACAAAGAGTATCAGATGAAAAGAAAGAGCAAAAATCACAGCTACTCAGAATAGTGCGTAAGGCTGTCTCCTAGGAATTCTGGAGTGCGCGATGACGATTCCACAAGTCAACACAGTGCTGAAGTCTGCAAGGTGACAAGTTGCTGCTCCACGATTAGCTGAGGGATGGGGCCACACCATGTTGACACATACGCTGCCGTTCTTGAATCTACGGCCCACCCCCACCCCGGTGATTTGGGGTACACTGAAATTGAGGCAGCGTTTTTTTAATTGTTGTAAAATATCTTCTTGCCCGACCCCTGGAGAAGGAGGATGACGTTGGGGGAGGCAGGATGGAGAAGCGATATGAACACTCAGACCTTCCCTAAGGGGACTGAGCGGGAGCAGCAGCGGGCTCTGGAGGGTGGATGGACACCACACCCGAAGACTTGAATTTGGGCAGGTGGAGCCCAAATTTGTTCTCCACTCCAGCGAAGGTGGCGGCAGCCAGACGGTAGCCTCCCACGTGATCGGCATTGATGGGAGGGAGTTCCGAGATGCGAGACTTGGGCGTGGGCTCGGATCCTGACGGGCGACTGCAATGGAGGAGCAAAAAAAAAAAAAACAAAAACAAAAAAAAAACGTTTCAGTCTGTACCCGTGAGAAATGTATTTGTACCGTAATTTCCGGACTATAAACAGCGACTTTTGTCACAGGCTTTCAACCCTGCAGCTTATTGAATGATGCGGCCTATTTAAAGATCCTAACGGCCGCTGGGGAGTGCTCGAGCAGAAAAGGTAATAATGAGATGCTATCATGTGTCACAGTGAAAACAACCGGCCATGAGAGGGTGCATTTCACCACCTGTTTGTCATGTTACCCTCGGCCGGCGTTACAGATCACACAAAACCCAGACAAGCAGATTCAGGGACATTTATTTTTTTCCTAGAGCCATTACTGCAATAATTAACCACAGAAAATAATCAAAGCTACTGTATTTTAAACTTAAACTCACTTATATCACTATGTGCAATAATGAGCAATATCTGAGCCATTTCATGTGCAATATGTGTCCTGTGTGCAAAATACTGTAAGCCTCAGTTCCATACTACCACTACTGCTGCTGTTGTTGTGTGTTGTTGTTGAGTTTTGTATTTATTCAACCGTTATTTTATTTTTTTTACGAAATGCACTAAGGAGTAGCACCCAAATTTTGTTGTATGTAATACAATGAGAATAAAAGCGATTCTGAGTCTGATGTTTTGAGCTGGACTGCAATCCAAAAGCTGTGGCCGTGTCTATGACAGACTTGACCGAGCACAAAATAATTTTTATGGAGGCTTTACGACCTACTGAAAATAGAAAATGTACAGCATTAATAAAATACCGAGCTATGGAACTAACAATCGAAAAGTATACAAAAATAGATAACAGTAGTGGCTTGAGAGCACTTTCCGGCATGTTGCATGCACCCGAAACATGCGGAAAACGACTAATCTTCCCTGCTTCATGGCTGTTCAACACGACTCACCATGCGACACCGTTCAATCTCCAAAACGACGATATTTTACTCTTAATATGGCCGAGTTACAATGCCGATTGCAGATACATTGGTTCTGAATATGCACCGCTCAGCGTTCGTCACCCTTCACTTCGTGGTCCAAGTCTAACAAGATTTCCCGCAAGATTATCCAACGCTCCTTTTAAAGTGACAGTGCTCCAATTATCAAACGAGTCAGTATTCACTACAACAGTCATAATATTGTTCACCTGGTTACATATGCCAAAAGAAAACCTCCCAAAAGACACTGTCGTGAAAGTTGACACGAGAGTGTGGATGGTAGAAAGCCTAAGGCGTAGAAAAAAAAGTAGTGTGTTTCCGGTAACCCGACCGACCGAGAATTTCTACGTCGAAAAAAAACTTTATGGTCGGCATTTTTTTCAAATAACCCTCTACATTTTTGTGTAGAGGGTTTACATTGGTGCAAACTCTCGCGATATTCACGTTGAGTGCATGCGTCGTTTGCCCTGTCGTCTGTCAACAACATGGCGGCGGGCGCGATCTCCGACAACAGTTTAAACCGCGTTTTCTGTGTTACAGTCGCATGCTCGTACCGTAATGATAGGAAAATAGCATCCATTGATGTATCAAAAAATTCAGCGAACTATTTGATGAACACCACGGGCTGAATAAAAACCGAGGGCGGAGGAGGACAGCGGCGGAGGAGGAGGACGGCGCGCCCTGGCCCCCCGAGTCCGGAGCGGGGAGAAAACTAAATAGGTGGCGGCGGCGCCGGCCGCGGAGCGGCGGGTTCAATGTCTTCTTGTTTTATGTTTTATGGTTATTTTGTTTAAATTTTTGATGGGGGAAAAAAAAAAAGATTTAAAAAAAAAAAAAAAATTGTCCGACCTACCGACCCTATGCTGAAATTTCATGTTACCGGAAACACACTATCTTTTTTGTTTGGCCTAATGAAGGAATGGTTGACCGAGTGTTGCGGCAAGCGAGAATCTTTTTCTTTTCAAAACAAACCATTACTCGAAAGGGAACGGTGCCTTTTATTTTTTTAAACCAGCTGTGTGAGTGCTGTTTTACTGACATGGTGCTGCCGTGTTGCAGGCACTATTTGGAAAGAAAAGTTAAGGTACCGTATTTTCACAACTATAAGGCGCCATTAAAAGTCTAAAATTTTCTCCAAAGTGGACAGCACGCCTGCTTTATTGCAAAACACTGCCACCTATGGTGATTTTTAAGCGAAAGACGCTGCCGAAAGAGAAGTTTCCAGCCGGCGTCATCGTCAAAGCAAACCAAAAGGGCTGGATGGACGAGGAGAAGATGAGAGAGTGGCTAAGTGAGGTGTATGTTAAGAGACCGGATGGCTTTTTCCATGCCTCGCCGTCACTCTTGATTTGCGACTCCATGCGTGCCCATCTCACAGCATCGGTGAAAAACAAAGTCAAGCAAATGAACTCTGAGCTTGCCGTCATTCCCGGAGGCTTGACTAAAGAACTCCAACCGCTGGACATCGGCATCAACCGGGCGTTCAAAGTAAAGTTGCGAGCGGCATGGGAGCAATGGATGATCGATGGCAAACACAGCTTTACGAAGAGTGGGAGGCAGCGCCGGGCAAGTTACGCGACAATTTGCGAGTGGATTGTGGCTGCTTGGACGAAGGTGTCTGCTTGCACTGTTGTTCGAGCTTTTGGCAAAGCCGGCATCATTTCTGTGGAGCCACAAGGCAATGAGAGTGACTCTGACAACGAGAGGGAACCCAGCGTTTTCGATGGATTACCGGTAGTTGCACAATTGTTCAATTCTGATACAGAAGATGAGGACTTTGATGGATTTCTGGGTGATGATTGATCAAAAAACGTGAGTACATTGTAAGCTGGCTAAATAAAATGCAACCGAACTCAGTTTTGCTTCCGTTGCCTTTTTAAAAACGTGTTTTTAGCGTGTATCTGTATGTCTTAGCATGCTACCGTATGCTTCAAGCTAACATGTTTTTAGCGTGCGTGCACGCATGCCGTATGTTTAAGCTGGCGTATGTTTTATCACTGTAAAACTGCGCCCAATAATACAGTGCGTTTTGTCTATGTGTAAAATACCAAAATAGCACCCGTTAGTGAGACTGCGCCCAACAATACGGTGCGCCGAATGTTCGTGAAAATACGGTATATAATTAAACGTTGAAACTTCTTTCTGTGTACCGTCTTTCTTTGCAAATATCTCATGTTACAATATGGGCACCTGTGGCTTATAGACAGATGCGGCTTATGTGTGTACAAAATGTTTCTTCCCTTAAAAATGTAGTGGGTGCGGCTTCAAATCAGGGGCGCGCGATAGTCCGGGAATTACGGTATGCATACATGTATTTCACATGACACCCTCCCGCCCCTTTCCAATAGAGGCATGGTTTGGGATTTGCTACCCCGCCATCCCATGTGTTTTCCACTTCGTATCTAAGAAATCGGGGTGCAGCCTGGCAACCCATCAGATTCCCTGTCTCCCCACTGTCTTTTTCGTGTTTCTCTTGGACAAGTTGAAACTGTAAAATGAACTTTGTTGCTCTCTACTTGCAACAACAATACATTCGATTCCATTCCATGTTAAGATCCGTAGCAAAAATTGTCATTTGGATTCAGAAACAAAAAGAACTTACTGTCCTCCAAAGTCAATATAGAACCACCTCTGCAAGAGTTCATACGTCACCAGAGTCACGCCAAACTGGGGGGAGGACCGGCACATACGAGCTGGACAAGAGAGACAACAGTGTTGTGTCAACATTGAAAATGCACACACACACGCAAACATCTTGACTGAACAGCTTTTCAGATTTGCAAAATCCTGATTTTTTTTGTAGATGTGATATTTTATTCAGATTTGTTCTATTGTATTCAGTGTTTATTAACATTTTTTTATCACATTGCATTTGTGGTGTGGGATCATGTGCAATCGAATAATAGGTCCATTTTTCTTCAACGAGACATCAATTTCTGCAAATGTTTACCTTGACTTTTTAACTGAATATGTGGCACCACAATTGAATGACCTTCAATCAATCATCATTTTTCAGCAAGATGGTGCACCACCACATTGGGGGCTGCATGTAAGTGGGTTCCTCAATCAAACATTTCCAGACCGGTGGATTGGGAGGGATGGGCCAATTCCTTGGCCGCCACGTTCACCAGATATCACTCCCTTGGACTTCTTTCTATGGGGCTAAGTTAAAGATATCGTGTATTGAACAAAGATAAGGGGCATTACTGACCTAAAGCAAAGGATGACTGATGCCATTGCCACATTTGATGAGGCTATGCTACAGCGAACAGGGCAAGAAATCGAGTACCGTCTTGATGTGCTCTATATATATATATATATATATATATATATACACACGCACACACACACGTATATATGACTTTTTGTGTTTGCTTGCCTTGGCTCAATAAAGATGAATTAACAAACACTGCATTAGATAAAGTCTCATACGTGTCATAATGTAAGTGATGATACGTGCACAACCACTGTCACGGTTTGGCGTACGGGAGACGGTGGTTCGAATCCCGCTTGGGGCAAAAATGAGCACATAACACCATCCAGTGTGGGTCCTTGGGCAAGATCCTTCACGCTATGCCTACCTCATACAATGATGAGAGACAATAAAAACATGAATGACATGCCGGCTCAGACGTCGCCCGGCCAAACAAGGTCTGCGTCAGGTGCTGGGGAACCACAAAATGAGATGAAAAATGGGCTACTGGAACAAAGCGGAGATGGGCGAGATGCGATAACATGACTCTGTTGGAATGCTACTACTCAAGCAACCCTAGTCAGAGGGGTTACATGCAGAGAATGCAGGCTGAATGGTTACTTCGAAACCCACAGTCACGGTTGACCACGAAACAACTAGTAGCTCAGTGTTCCAACATCCACAAACGGCAATTGCTCTCACAACTTGAGATTGACGAGGTACAACGGGGGCCCCAGCCTGCCAGATCAGAGGAGGAGGTCATACCAGAGATTGGGAGGCAAGCCCCAATGAATGAAATGCTGAGCGAGGCAGCAACCG